CAAGAAGATGGCCATCAAACTGTAGGAAAAATGTGTAAAACCAAAGCAAGACCGTGCTACTGTAACGAGTGGAACGTGTGGCTACCATGATGAGATATAAGCAGCAGCTGAACTCGGAAGAAATGTGACTGCTGAAATGGATGTGTGATGTCAGCAGAAAGGACCACTAAGAAGCACTTTAGGTGCAGTTATCGAAAGCAGGCTTTATTGGTTTAGTCACGTGAAAAGAAGACTCATCGTGCACGTTACAAATGCGGTCAAAGCGCTGATACTGACGGGAAAGAAAATAAGGGAAGACAAAAGAAAAGGTGACGCAATGTCGTCGAAAACAATGTGAAACTGCGAGGAGTCACGGAATATTTATCTAAAGGCAGATAAATGTGAAAGACAGATGTGGGGGGGGGGGTTAATTCGATTAATAGACCCCGTTAAAGGGAACATGCTAGAAAAAAAAGATGTATTTTACTTTTGATTTTTGTCCTGACGTATGCCTTTCGAATTTGAAGATTAAATTCCGGTGAAATATCTTCCTTTCAGCCCTCCAATATCAGTCAAAGAGGCAGAAAGTTTTGGCTAACGCGTCAGTTGCAAGAAAAACACGAAAACTTATTAAACCTTTAAAGTTGATCAATTTAGCAAAGAGATGAATTGGGCGTAAACTTGGAAGGCAACTCAAAATTACCCTCAAAGTGTATTACCCAAACCTTTACGTCACTGTCTGGTCAATCCTCCACAAAGAGGATGGACTTCTGACAAGAAGGAAATTACAAAATGTACAATTTTGACAGCGGCTAGGACTTGAAAAAGAAGTAATGAATTTGTCTTGAAACTACTTGGCACTCGACATGTTCTTCTCGAAAGTATGTCAAGAGAGTTACTGTATTTTGAACGTTAACAAGAGGAACTGAAAATGGCAAAATGAACGAGGGCAGTAGTTCATCGAGGGAAGGAAACCAAGAATAAGACTAGATGAAGCTGGACAGATGATTTTACGCTCTGAGCACGCTTAAACATAATTCAGTTAGAAGAATCACGGAAAACCGAAAATTTGGTGGGAGGTAATTCGTCATATCGTTTGCCCTTTGAACAGAGGCCGATAACTGATTAACTATTGATTGACTGGCAGATCTCTAGTCTCCTTACTGTCAGCCAGCTGTTAGTCAGAATGTAAGCGAAAGCGGAACTCTGGTTAAAGTTCAGCGTAATACGTCATTTGTTGGACATCAGTGACACAAATCAATGCTGACCAATACAACATTGATTTTATTCGACGACGTGTGAGAAAACAAAATTTCCGCAATAAAAATATCAATTCCAGTAATAGCTCTGCCGTCTATGTTCTATTTGACCATTGACGATCAGATCAGCAATAACATATTCAAATTCAGCTGAGCAAAGCAATGCATCATTTCAAATGACCGACGGAAACATATCCACGATAACTAAGGAATATATTGCACTATAAGTTTAAATAATGTTTTATCTTCGGCTATGTGTCTGAGATTCCTTCTTGTGCACCATGAGCAGACGCGTTCGAAGTTCTAATTCTGTCTCCAGTGGCCATTGGTACTTGAATTTTGTCTATAGACCTCAATATACTTAAAGTCATTTACATATGGAAGCCTTAGCTGTATTGATCATTAGGGTTAAATCCAGTGCTTCATCACTAAAAGACTGAAAGTCGATTTCAAGCCTTCGATACCCACTTAATGTGTAATTCAGTTCTGTTCCAACTGGATTGCAATAACGGTTGCAAAAACACGGTATCGGTAAAATTATTGTTTTTGTTTATATGTTAACAGCAATATGAAGAAGACAAAAGTACTAATCGCGACCAATGTTGTGTAAACATGCAGTAGATCTACTTTATGCCCAAACCATAATTCTTCCTTATGAAAATGCAGCTCCTGCAAGACCATGATTCTTCAGTCTACTACAACAAGTATACACATGAAGGAACAGAAAAGGCAAAGTGGAAGCTCGTTTCGCTTAGGTTTGCACGATTTCTAACTTGCGCTTTATCAGCTATGGCTAAGAAGGTTTAATGT